AAGGGAAGGATCCAGAGGGAAGGGAAGGATCCAGAGGGAAGGGAAGGGAAGGATCCGAGGGGAAGGGAAGGATCTGAAGGGAAGGATCCAGGGGGAAGGGAAGGATCTGGAGGGAAGGGAAGGATTTGGAGGGAAAGGAAGGATCCAGGGGGAAGGGAAGGATCCGGAGGGAACGGAAGGATCCGGAGGGAACGGAAGGATTTGGAGGGAAGGGAAGGATCTGGAGGGAAGGGAAGGATTTGGAGGGAAGGGAAGGATCCAGAGGGAAGGGAAGGATCCAGAGGGAAGGGAAGGATTTGGAGGGAAGGGAAGGGAAGGATCTGGGGGGTTCCCGTGGGTCCAGGGGGATCAAGGGATGTCCCCGAGGGTCCCTCTTGCCCCACCTGAGCTCCCGCAGCTTGAGCCACCCGAGCAGAGGGAAGGGAAGGATCCGGAGGGAAGGGAAGGATCTGGGGTGGGGTCTCCCGGGGGGTTCCAGGGGATCGAGGAGGACGTTCCCCGAGTGTCCCCTCCTGCCCCACCTGAGCTCCTGCATCTTGACCCTCCCGAGCCGGGCGATGTTCTGGCGTCTCTGCCGGGCCTCCCCCTCCTGCCTCCGGCCCTCCTCCAGCTCCTCCTCCCTCTCCTGCTCCCGCCGCTGCCGCCGCTCCCCCAGCTCCCGCCGCAGCTCCTCAGCGTGGGCCCGGGCCAGCTCCGCCCGCCGCGCCCGATCCCGCTCCTCCCGCTCCCGCTGCTCCTGCTGCACCCTGACAGGGGTGTCCACGTGGTTATAGGGGTGTCTGTGGGGTTCTAGAGGGGTCTATGGGGTTCTAGATGTGTCCATGGGGTTCTAGAGGGATCTATGGGGTTCTAGAGGGATCTACGAGGTTCTAGGGCTGTCTATGTGGTCCTAGAGGTGTCTACAAGGTTCTAGAGGGGTCTATGAGGTCCCAGGGGTGTCTATGGGGTTCTAGAGGGATCAATGAGGTCCCAGGGGTGTCTACGAGGTTCTAGGGGTGTCTATGGGGTTCTAGAGGGATCTACAAAGTCCCGGGGGGGGCTGTGGGGTTCTAGAGAGGTCTATGAGATTCTAGGGCTGCCTGCAAGTTCCAAGGGGTGTCTGTGAGGTTCTAGAGGTGTCTCTGGGGTTCTAAGGGTGTCTCTGGGGTTCTAGGGGTGTCTACACCACCCAGAGCCACTGGCTGTCACCGGGATTCCCCCCCCCGGCCCTGCGGGGCTCACCGGAGCAGCCTCTGGAATTCCTGGCGTTCCTGCTCCAGCTGCACGGCCAGTCTGTGTTCCCGGTGGGCCACCTGCTCCTGCCGGTCCCGCTTGAGCTGCTGCTCCGTCTCTGCCTTCTTCCGGGCCTTCTCCAGCTCTTTCCGTCGCCATTCCCGGTCCGCGGCCTCCTGGTTCCTCCTGGCCCTCAGGGCATCCTGCCCGAGCCATGGAGAGTCCAAGGGGATCTTCCCACCCAAGTCATGGAGGATCCAAGGGGATCTTCCCACCCAAACCATGGAGGGTCCAAGGGGGGATTCCCACCCCAGGGGACAGCAGAAGGTCCAAGGGGGGATTCCCACCCGGTCACAGCTTTGGGGCTCTTCCAGTGCCATTCCGGAACATCCCACGGCTCCGAGGGCCGGTCCTGCCGACCCTCCACATCCCAGGATGGGGACAGGGATGGGGACAGGAATTGGGGACAGGGCCAGGGCCACCCACCCTCTCCGCCTGCCAGTCCTGGTCCCGCTGTTGGGTGGCCCTGAGCCGGGCCAGCTCCAGCTCCTTCTCCAGGCGGATCCGCTCCTTCTCCGCCTCCGCGGCGGCCTCGCGCTCCTGGGGGGACGTGGCATCCCAGTGCCATCCCAGTCCTATCCCAGTGGCATCCCAGTGCCACCCCAGTGCCCCAGTCCCATCCCAATCTCATTCCAGTCCCATTTCAGTCCCATCCAGTCCCATCCCAGTCCCTCCCCAGTGCCCCCAATCCATCCAGTCCCATCCCAGTCCCATCCCAATCCCATCCCAGTGACCCCAGTCTCATCCAGTCCTATCCAGTGCCATCCCAGTCCCATCCCAGTCCCACCCCAGTCCCTCCCCAGTGCCCCCAGTGCCATCCCAGTCTCTCACCATCTTCTCCCTCTGGTACTGCAGCACCTTCTCGTCCTCCAGCCTCTCCTGCTCCCGCCGCCGCTCCTTGATCCTCCTGGTCTCGTCGTTGGCCTCTTTGATCTCGGCATTGATCTGCCTCTGGCGCTCCTGCTTCCTCTCCCAGGCCTGGAAATGCCACCGAGGGTCGGGGGATGCTCCTTCCTCCTCCTCCTCCTCCTCCTCCTCTTCTTTCTTTTCCTTCTCCTTCTCCTCCTCCTCCTCCTTCTCCTCCTCCTCCTCCTCCTCCTTCTCCTCCTCCTCCTCCTTCTCCTCCTCC